AAAAAAAAAAAAAGCAATGACGGTTAACCATTTGGACATAGGAGCAAAGTACGTATCTGCAATTTACCCAAAAAAAAGAAAAGAAAAAAAAAGGGTACGTATCTGCAAAATTATTCTAATGCTGAAGTCAATAATAAAGCCAAAAAAAAAAAAAAAAAAAAGCCAAAAAAATGTAGGCAAATAAATAAACATGCTGGGAGTAGCCTTTTGATGGGCACTTATGGAGGCAGTGGTACATGCACTTACCGTGTAAGTAGCTGAGATGCGCATAATTGAACATGGATTCGATTGTATATTATGTACTTTGCGTTGTAGCCCCCCAAGCCTCACAATTTAAATTTCATGCATTTCTTAGTTGTGATTAATGACATTGTGGAATTACAGATTAGGTAATAGTACGCATAAAAATAAAATTCAGGAAAACAAAAATACCCCTTATAATAATAATAATACAAAACCGCATTCTTATTCTGCACTAATACACGTTCAATTCATTGACTTTATACATGAAGCATAAGTTTTTTTTTCTCTCAAGCATCTTTTCTGAATATTAGTTCGTAATATATTCCAAGCCATCCTTCTTAAATATGCTTACTCTGTAAATTATCACCTTCCACCGAATTAATTATTTTATTGTTTTCTAAAAATAAGAAGAAAGAAAGGCGCTACCATTGTCACTGTTAATGCGCTTCTTTTTATTTAAAAAAAATAAAAATCATTAATATTTGAATGCTCTGATTTATTAGGCTGCCTCTAGTTCTGATCATGCTAGTATGTGAACATGGAGATTAAATGAATGGATAAAAAATTGTTGAGAACATTTTTAAGTTCAAAGGGAGAATCTAGCACTGAGGTGGGTCTTAGAAAAAGCGTATAGGGAGATAAAAAAAAAAGGGAGTACAGGGAATTAACGAAGTTTAAGCCTTCCACTCTCTTTGCATTGGTTAAAATGTATTTTACTTTATATGTCAAATACCCTCTCCAATTCCTACTTATCCCTAGGCTTCATAATATATAACCGTGACAAAGGGATGACAATGTATTAATCAATACAATATTATTTAAAATTGATTAGCTTACGTCTATACATAGGGGTGTAAATGGGCCAGGCGGCCTACAGGGGCCTACGGCCTGGCCTACGTAAAGCCTGGTCTGGCCCGGCCTTCGAGGTAATTAGGACAGGTGAAGGCTTGTAGACGAGCCTATTTAGAAACAAGGCCGTAGGCTAAATATAACAAGCCTGGCCTTTTCGCCTGTAGGCCGGCCTATTTAAATTTTTAATAAAAAAAATACAATATTATTTATATTTAAAAGATGACAAAACCTAATTTCTTTCCTTTGCTATGCGCAGCTTCTTCTACATCAGATCTCACGACTCAAGAGGAGTCTCACCTTAGTCTCACCAAAACCCAAACGATCAAGTTTTAGTCTCTCACCGCCGGTCACCCATCTATTCTCATCGCCGGTCACCCATCTATTCTCATCGCCGGTTACTCATCTATCAAGGTTTACCAGGTATTTTTTTTTCTTTCGTTAACTTTTTAGATTTTGCGAAGGTGCTGTTATTTTGGATTTGCTACTGGTTTAGCCTTGAAATTTAGGATTCTCTTCTAGGTTGATTTTGTTGTTGTTGTAGGCGTAGCTGAACTCACTGTTACTGCCCCTTAAGGGGGACTCGGTGAGTGCTCTGATCATCACAACAAGTGTGTACATTGTTCCTGGGTATTCTTGATTTTTGATTCGCATTCTCTTGGGTATTCTTGTTTTTTCTTCCCAGGTGGGGGTTCTTCCTGCACTGCGTTGTTCCTTCTCTTTTTTTAAAAAAAAAAGTATTGATATTTGAACTAGTCTCTTGGTTCCACACCCTGTTACTTTACTGGTATTTATTCCTGATTCTTCTCGATGAAATGCTTTGCATACCATTTTCTTTTTGTTTTTGTTTTTAAGTTTTGGGGGTTTATTAGCTCTCTCTCACCCAACCTTGAAAAGTACTCCGAAGGTTATGTTTTGTGAATGGTGTTAAACTTGATATGTGACATACTTTTTCTATTTAATTTGAAGAGTGGTTGATAATTTTTCATTGCTTGTCACCTTCAAAAAAAAGAGTGGCAGCGGTGGTGTTTTTATTGGAAGGATGAGGTGGACATAAAAAAATGACTAGTACATTTTGGCCTGCAATCTGCATAAATATTTTTTATGACCATTAGAAGCAACATGTATGGTAAGACTAAACAATATCATTTTCCATAATTAGAACTAATTGTCTTTTATATATTATGATATATCTGAATGCTTTAAAAATCGAATTGAACTAACCGGTTGAATCGATCGATCGGTAGTATTAATGAACAGATCGACTATTGTTATATAATTTAAACAAAATTCAGTTGTGATTTAATCAGTTGAATTCTTACCTACTACAGAGGAAACATATATGCCGATAAAAATCCTATATTTTTTTCTTTTCTTAGAATAATTAACATCTTAGAATGTACTAAAAACTAAGCTCCACGCAATACTTAAACCTAAATTTCTACTTGAAGATCAACAACCTGCTGCATTACTTTTGCATTTCCTTAAATTTCTTATTGTTTTTATATTTAGAATTCATTTTTATAGTAGCTTTTAGAAATGTCAATTACTATAACATAATAAAAGGGACCAAAGATAACTAGTATAAGCCACAGAAGAGCATTTACTAATATGTGTGGCTTGTTTGTTTTCTTTGATTGCTAATTTAGTATAGTAATTGGTGTGGCTTGTGACTTTTTTGAATTGGACTAAACAAACATGCTGCTGTAATGCCTGGCTCTTAGCATCTATCTTTTGTTTGTACAAGAGTACATGCATTACAGATTTAGCTATGCATATGATCAATCTCTACCTTTTTCTTTCTTATTCTAAAACTTATTACTCTTGCTGTGCAATTTTTCTAAGTGGACACTAAATTTTAAGGCATCAAGTCTCTTTCATTTGATTATTGTATTAAATATTTCTGTATTTTTTAGTTAAATATCTTTCTTTTAGTAGGATATCTACGTTTTCCCCATTTTTAGAAATGATATTTTTTAATACTTTCTCACAAATCATAAAGTGCTATTTGCTGCATGTGTTTTAAACATTGCAAGATATAATTGTAACTGTTGACCAAACATAACCATTTGAACTTTTGATTTAGCAAATATTCTCTGATTTATTTTATGAGGCATTCCTCCGCCTAAATTGTAAAAGTTCCCATAGAACTCCAATTTTTTGTAAAAGTTCACTTATGGATTAGTCCACTTTCAATTTTTTGCTCTTCCTGCAAGCTGAACTTTCCTCATTTTCCAATTTTTTGCTCTTATGGATTAATGCCTTGGAATGGTGGAAGACAAACAGCTTGAAATATAGAATTTTATCAAAGATGGCAAGAGATATACTAGCTGTTCCAATTTCTACTGTAGCATCTGAGTCCACATTTAGTGCTGGTGGAAGAGTAATTGATGCTTATCGTGCTAGTTTAAACGAAGAGACTGTCGAAGCATTAATTTGTGGTGGAGATTGGCTACGAAATAAATATGATTTGAAGAAAAAAATAAAAGGTATAAATTGCTTCTTTAACAACACATTTGAAAATGTTTATATATTGCAATTTTCATAATGTAAACATAGTGAAATGCATAACTAATTTGATTTTCTGATTTTCTACTTGCAGGTTCGAAAAGATAGTGGGAATAATCAAGCTGATTACTTTTTATGGGTGAGATGCCTATTTAATTATTAATATCTACAATGCAGTACCAATATTGGTTTTTATATTTAATTACTTTATGCTTTTCGGATTAGCTGGATCAAAATTTAAGTGCTTTCTGTTTGGCAGCATTCTCCCTCTTAAAGTGAAGCTTTTTGCTGCTTCTTCTACATGACATCCATGCTGCAGCGAACAAATGTACAAAATTACTACCAGAAAATTATCTATATTAGAACTACACAAAACACATAATTTATAAGTTTGATATATGCTGATCATGAAATCTCAGTTATTTTCACACAAAACAGTTTATTTTCACACGTGTACCAATATGCGTAAATATAAAACATCATGAAATATTTTCATAATTATTAACATTTTATCATTATTAATAGAAATTCATTGTTTAAACATAACTTTATTACCTCATTCACTTTTTTTTTGCAGGAAGATGATGTTAAGAAGGCTCACTAGAAGATTGTGAAGTGCCAAGAAAAATTCAATCTTTGTTGTTGTTAAAAAATCTGTTGTAGAATTTTTATAACATGTGTTCTTGTTAAAAAATCTGTTGTAAAATTTTTATTATTTGGACCTATGCTGGAAATATTGTTTAATGAATGAGATATTTTTATTTATTTATTTAATTTACAATATGGTAGGCCTAAAAGGCCTCATAGGCCATGTAGGCTTTTTATTTTTAAATAACAGGGCAGGCTTGGCCTTTAAACTAAGCCTTTGATAGGCTCATAGGCCAGATAGGCCAAACATTTTCGTGTGTAGGCTTAGGCCATGAAGGCCAAAGCCTGCCCTGCCCTGGCCTATTTACACCCCTATCTATACATACTCCTGTGTCTTCTTCTCTACCAAGCGCATTAGGTAAGCTAATAATTGAAAATACGAAAGCATCTTATTCAGCAAAACCATGTAGCACTATCAGCCAAAACCAAACTCCCATTTTCTGTGAATTCACCCAACTTGAGCCCTTGGCTATACTTTCTATGTTGCTCAGATAAACAGAATATGAAAATTATACATGACACCAAGCCCAGAAAAGATTCGTGTAGTTATTAGCACTCTAGTTTAGATCAGAATATTGTTTTACAAAAAATTATATGAGGATTTTTTTTTTCCCTTCATAACTGTAAGATTGATTTGTATAATTCCAAAATAAATCGTGTGGGAAATGTTATCTCTAGCACCAGACACTTTCACCAAATGCATGTATTAAAAAAAAAAAAAAAAAAAACTTAAGAATCATGACCAAATTAGATCATGGATAGGATGATAGCAAAGGTACAGGAATACATGGGGAATTCTTCCAAACCGAGGAGTGCAATTTGAGTATCTCCTTGGCCCTCTCCTTTGTCTTGAAACTGCTATCCACTTGAAGCACCAAACATAACTTTGACACAGCCCCAACTTGCAACATTTCATGAAGGACTCTAGAATTTGCAGAATACCTACAAATAGAGGACAAAATTCTAACACCTCTATCACTTGCCACATGAGAAATCCTTAGAATTTTCTTAGACACAATGGCCACTCCTGCCCCATGATTCAACAACTCTGCTCTCCCTTCTGCACAACCACAAAGTTGATCCAAAGCTATTAGCATGAGTTCACATGTTCTTCTTTCTGTAGCATCAAGAAGAAGCTCAATGAGGACTGAAACTGTGCCACCCTCAACTGCTTTGATTCTGTTTCTTCTCCATGGACAAAGCTCCACAATAAGCTTCAATGCAGCCTTTGTAGCCTTCTGTGAAATATGATCACGTAGCACCCTCATTATTTCCACAAACAATACGGTTTTGACATTGATCAATTGGATTGGATCAGCTACCTCAAATGCTGACTTCAATAGCATTGTTGCATAAGCTCTAGATTGGTAGTTCCCAAGCCTCAAAACTTGAAACAAAGACTCAATAAATTGAATGCCCTCATTGTTTATCAGATTCTTAAGCTGAGCTTCAGAAGGGTTTAGATGAAACAAGACTTCAATAGCTGCTTCACTTAGAACAGTTGAATCTTCTTGTATATTCTTCATGGTTGAAGCCAAGAAGTCAATTGCTCCTGCAGATTCCAAACAGTTTTTGTTCCTTTCACCCTCAAAAACAATAGATCTAAGCCTTCTAATGCATTCGAGTTGCTTGTCTGGGAACTTTTTTGCTTCTGCGAGGATTTTGACAATTTGAGTTCTATCAATGGGTGGCTTTGGAGTTGGAATGCGTTCAACTCCAAGAGATGCATTAAGGGTGCACCAAGCTTGGATCAAACGGCGTAGAGTGTGGTTTGGGGTAAGATCAGTGTCTAACAGAGACAATTTAGTAACAGGGCATGTTTTGTTCTTGCATGAAAATAACCATCTCTCTATGTTTTCTCTATCGTAAGTGATTCCTGTGCAAACGGTGACAGGGTCTCTCATAAGTTGTAGGGAAATGGGACATAGGAAATGAGGAGGAACCTCAATTTCATCCATATCTGAAAGGACCAAATCTACTAAAAGAGTGTAATGGCTTGAAAATTCTAATTATTCAACACAGGAAGAATTTGAATAGAATGAATGAATATATGAGTACCTTGAATATTAGCTAGAAAGCTGAAGAGTATACAAAAGTTGAGCATTTAGTTGTTAGAGGCGCATTTAATTGTGTCATGAAATTTGGGTAGAGAAAGTACGAATTTTTATAGATGTTGTTCTAAACGATAAAGTCAACACACGGAAAATGAGAGAGATGGTAAGGGTGAATTAATAAGGACCTTTTCCAAGGTTTCGGAAGAAGAAAAAGTATATGGTATTAGTGACTTTGGTTAGCTTGGATATGCGGGTGATATATATTTATTATGTATTGGATAATAAATGAAGATTGAAGAAATTAAAATTATAAGGTCTTGTGGTTGTGGGAGTTAACGTCGGTGTTGCAAATTGCAAATAAAGCCTGATATAGAGGCTTTTGACTTTCAAGAATTATTATTTTGTAGAGGTAGTATCTTTTGACACCAGTATCAAATTTGAAATTTGACACTTCATCTAAGAGTCATTGGATAAAAAAAGATCAACGGCTCTGATTTGCAAACATGTGACATCATTGATATTTTTTTATCTAACGGCTCTCAGATGAGGTGTCAAATTTCAAATTTGACACCGGTGTGAAAGGATCCTGCCTCTATTTTGTATTATAACTAATATTATTTTTGTATTTGATCTGTGCGTAGACCGTAATGGTTGCATGGCTGTTGCTTGTTGCCGACAAGTTCTGATGGAGCTCATGCATTATGTCATGATTGGATACCTTTTCTCACGCTTTTCTCGGCTCCGTCCATTAATGCTTTCCTTCATTTGTTTACTCAGATAACGTGTTTGGGAGCTGGGAATTGCTTAGCAACGAATATTGTTTTTGTTCTTGCTAATTTGGTCCACCCTCATTTAACCGTTAACCGTGTTCTAAATCTACCTCTATTTTTACATAGAATAATTTCTTACTGTACTTTAAAAAAATTAAAGGTACCTAACTTTAATGTTTGTTCAATACTTTTTTTAAAAATTAAATTATTAATTTAAAAAATATGGCATTAAAATTTGTTTTTTCTTATTAAATATATTAAATCAGAATACACTAATTAAGATACTGGTTTAATCTTTTAATCTACTCGACTACTCTCTCTATTAAAAAAATTATCCATATCATTCTTTTCTTCTTCTTCTTCTTCTTTAATTTTAAATTCATTTCTTTTGAATTAACTTCGTATAGTTTATTTTTAATTTTAATTTTTTCCTTTTAAAATACATATTTTTTAGATTTTATGTTAATTAAAAATATATACATTCTTTATAATTTTAGACCTTTTCTAATATATTTTTTTCATAATATATGCCTTTTAGATTTTATTCAAATTTAAAATAGCGGTGCACCTGGTACTTAAATCCTTGCACTTTTGCTGGCAAAATTAGATTGATGCAAGTACCCGAAAAAGATAATTACTTGACATACGTGCTATAGTAAATTTCAACAATCACAAAGAACGTGGAAGATCTGGTAGTTAAGGTTAAGGCCTTTTTTCTTTTAAGAAATATTATTTCTATATATAATTTGCCATATATATTAATTAATTGAAAATATCATTTAGGTAATATAAAACACTGCAAACCGCATAATATAATTGATTCAAAATAAGTTGTTATCAAATCTGAATTTAAGAACCAAAATAAATCTAAAAATTAGCTCTTGGACTAATTGAATTATTATTCGCATAAAAAAAAAAAAATCATTATCATACTCTGTTAACAGGAAAAATTTCACTCTTCATTATGTAGTTTTTGAAAATGGTGTTCCTTTGCAGGCCTCACACTTACTATCGTCTCAGTCTCATTAAATGTATGGTCCTGAATGACTCCAAATACAGTCAAAGGCATGTTAGAAATTTTATTTTTATGGGTAATATTATTTAATTAATTTTCTATTTTAAAATTAATTGAGTTAATAGATATTTCAATTTTAATATTTTGACTAGTCTATTGTGATCACATTGAGTTGAGCTTTTGACATGTTATTGGGTCTAGTTAGATAGCTGTATAAGCTTTAGTGTGATCCTAGTTTCTCATGATAAATAGATTCAATAGACACAAATTATTTTCTAAGTATTTATCTAGGTCTCCCTCCAGCCTATTTTTATCGGGGTTAAGTTCCATGAGCTATCATGCTTCCATCACAAAGACACTATCAATTTTTGAATAGGATAGAGAGAAAAACCTTAACATCTTCTTTCCTTATTTCTTTAGACTTTGTGATGGCCGAATAAAATAATTCTAATTTATTGTGACTTGCTGTTTTATAATCATATATATATATATGATTTATTATTTTAGATTGAACAAGACATGCATCCATACATGACAGAAAATAGATTTGTAAGTGCTTACTTTGTCTTTTGTGTATGTAACATATTAATTGACATTCATTTTCCTAACGCAGTGATATATAATAATGCACCAAACATAAATATACACTCAGAAAACAGGGTATTTCACGCCAAAAAAGAATACGTAACATACTGAAATCACGCATGCCTGAAGAAAAGCAATTATAGAAGCTACACGTCATATTTTCTACTTGACACAGCGACCGGCAAGGAAAATTAAACGCTAAGTACTGTTGAATATTATCACGATCTGGTCATTTTTTATGCGTTGTTGTCGCCTGCATTAATTGTAGTGTTCGAGCCTTTCTTATACAATATTCCATCTTCTCTTCGAAAAAATAAAAAAATATCGTCCATTAATTTTTTTTTCTTCTTCTTATATATAAGTCAATTTTGACGATCTGAACTCATTAGTTTTTTTTTTTCATATATACAGGTAAATTTATATTATAAGTCAATTTTGACGATCTGATGATTCTGATCTACGTATCCATGTGCTGCAAAATAGAGATTATACTCAATCACATGGCATCAGAAACTTGGAACCATGGTGTACAAATACCATTTCAAAGATGATTACCGCTTTCACACAGTTATAAATAAATAATTAGATAAAAACAGTTGGCTTAAATTCAAAGGATTTATACAAATATATTTTTACGTGCACTATTGTCAATTGTTAAAAAAGCATAATCATGATTATGTTTATCTTAAATGTGAAACTATTTTAATGGTATAATAACACAATATCAAATTATTCTATAAAAAAAATATATATATATATATATATATATATATATATATATATATATATATACCCACCATGAACCATGATTAAAACTGGGTCAAATCTGAAATCCCAAAAGCAATTAATTACTAGAAATTGGCTCACCCTAAGGATGAAGGCAACGATAGAGCACGAAGTGTGCCGCAAAAGTAACTTATTTTATGTATGAGCCATTTTTGTTCCGTTCTGTGTACATTGAGTTTAGGTGATTTTATTTGATAGGTACGTTGAATTGCGTGGAAACTGAAACCCTGAACAGTCAAAGAGAGCAGCTGCTCTGAAGAAGAGAGCAGCTGTTTTGGTCAGCTGAGGATATGAGCTAGCAACGAAATATGTGGCCATTAGTCTCATGGCCAGAGTTTCATTCTCATATTATTTTATGAGTTTTTCTTTTCTCATGTCACATGAAATATCATTTCTCATGTCATAGATACAATAAGTGGTGGAACTCACCACTTGTTAAAAAAGAAGAAAAAACAAAATGAACAGCATGACTTTTGATGTCTCATAGCATGAGAAAATTATCTCCTGTTACATGAGAAAATAATTTCCCTTACAAGCTAACAAATTGGTTGTTTTAATTGCACTCCTGTCAGGATCTGCAGGTGCACAGATAAGGGCAGCAGGCTATGCATATAAACCAGAAGCTTCATGGAAAAAGTATAAATTGATTTGTTTGGTGGATTCATGTTGCTAAGAAGTCATTAATTAAAGAGAAATGATAATATCATATTACATAAATTTATCTTATGTTATACATTTATAAAATTTCATGTCATTCTTTTTCTTTTTTCTGTTTTTTTTTTTTAAATTATAAACCCTATATATTTGTGTCACCCACATAAGAGTATTATCTCATATACCATTATATTAGTAAACCCTTTAATTAAATTAAATTAAACACAACTCTTCTTCACTTTCCGCTAATCAACCAACCAGCATTGGTCAAAGCCCAAAGTCTTCGTTTGCACAAAAAAATTGGGCAACGGATAATAACTTCTGTTTTTTTTTTTGGTACTTAGCCTGTAATTTTTTACTTTTTTTTTTGGGTTTCAGCATGTAATTTTGTTGTGCAGAGATATATAAAACCCTGAATTTTGTGTGCTCATTTCAGGTAAGATTTTGACCAAAAAATAAAATTCATAAATTTTCTATATTTTAATAAAATCCAAATCAACATTTAGAAGAAGATAAGAATTATAAAAAAAATAGTTGAAGTTACATAATCTCATATTGAATGGTTTAAGATCCAATAAAGAGTGTATGAAGTACTTTTTATTAAAAAAAAAGAGAGCAGAATGAGATAGAAATAACATGCTGACAACTCATCATCAGCTGAAACTAAAATATCAACCACCTGTTCATATGTTTGTTTTTTAAAATTGTTCCGGATGGCCCAAACACTAGTGCAGCCCAGCTGGCCAGGCCCAGTTAAGGCTGACGTGGAGACGCGCGCCCTCCAACCTTGCAGCATGTCCAAGGGATACACCAAAATGCCCCATCTCGGGACGCTAACCACCAAAGGCGCCAGCCACAGGCATCCTAAAGGGAAAACTACCCTCTGCCCAGTGCTGACATCGCCAGACGCAGAAGGCGCAGCGCTGCCCAAAAGGCAGTGCCAAACACGCCCAACACTGCTATCATGGCAGTACATCCCAAGGACGGTTGACCTCTCCTTACCAACCCGCACCATATCCTCTATAAATAGCCCTCATGGGCACAACTTTAAAGCATCTTATGTATCGTAATATTGCCCATTTACTTTGAGTCTTATTGCTTACTGAACATACATATTGTCTTGCTATTGCTTGGCATAATACCTCTTAGCCTGGTCAGTACCTAAGCTAAGGGTATCTCCCATACAGTGACTCATCCCCAAAGGGAACATAGTGGGCTTGAAGATCCCTACGGTACATTGGCACCGTTTGTGGGAAACTATAAACTTCTATTCCCATTCTCTTACCCAAGGCCCATCGGACGGGTCATTTCCTCTAGCTACCAAGTAAACGCCGAACGCTTTTTGCAACTGAACATGGTGGTCACCAGAAGAACGGAGCACGCCAGGGCTACTACGCCAGAAGGACACGTACATACAGTACAACCAAGCTCCCCGCCATCCATGCATTCAGCCCCAGCTGAGCAGGCCGCTGGAGAGGCCCCACCTCCTGTACTACAATCTGTTGGTCCACAGTTACCAACGACCGGTGCTAGGGTCGCCCTGCAGCATCATCAAGTACCCGTGCACGAGATACAGGGGGAAAATGTAGTTCCAAACCAACCACCACCCCCCGGAGTTCATTTTGGAATGCCATTTCCAGTAGCTGTTCCACGAACCGCTCATCTCACCCACCCTCCACTACCAGCCCAAAGTCAACCACTGCCAGTATACAACGACCGTCGTGTACCCATGATCGCCCCGTACCCACCTAGGCCATACACGCGTAACATGGCTGTACCTTTTCAACTACCTCACCAAGCTGGTTTCCCTTTCCATGGCTACGCCATGCAGCCCCATAACGTAGCCGTCCCACAACCTCTGGTATCTTGTCTGAATCCCAATCAACAACCATATGGCGCCCAACAAGCTTTCCACTAAGCCCCAGCCCTCTCATACTCCGTGGAAGCCCCGCAAATACCTCGACCACAACAAGATCAACATATCAGAATAACGCCTGCTCAAAGGTCAGGGCGTAACAAGCCTTTGACCGACAGCTTGCGACTAACTCTCATACCCCTCGGTTTTAAGGGTCCCTCTAACATCGCCACATATGTTGGCGATACGGACCCACTTTCGAGTGGATCCAAAAATTCGAAGCAGCAATGACACTCCATGGTGAAACGGATCTACTCATGTGCAGAACTTTCCCAACGCTGTTGGGAGGGAGAGCTCTCACTTGGTACACCACCCTACCAACAGGCAGCATCGCATCCTGGGACGATTTAGCAAGCAAGTTCCAGTCCCATTTTGCTACTAGTCGCCCCGTGCCAAAATCCGTGCACGCCCTTGAGAAAGTCCGACAGCTTTTTGGCGAGTCGCTCAAGTCCTTCCTAGACCGTTTTGATAAAGAGGCTTTACAAGTGCAAGGCCTAGATCCAAAGGTATAGGTACACATACTCTTGTCAGGCCTGCGACAAGGAGAATTTGCTTACGAACTCGCACGGCACGAGATTACTGACTTGGAAGAAGTCAAGAAAAAAGCACAAGAATTTATGAGAATTGAAGAATACAAAGGGAGTCGAGCTGGTGACTCCCACGATCAAGAAAAGACGGCCACCAAGGGAAAGAACCACACTGATGAAAGTAGGAAAGGGTACCAAGCATCCACCCGCTCCATCCGTCCTTCGGGGCGAGAAACATCAGAACGACGATCGCATAGTGTATTATAAACCGACTACAAAGAAGATCCCAAAAGTAGCCAACGATCCCAACAGCCAAACAAAGAGGCCACAGCATACTGCAAATTTCATCGCAGTAATGGCCACAGCACGGAGGAATGCAGGCGCCTCAAGGACGAGATTGAGGAACTCATCAAAGGCGGTACGCAGAAGCGCGGAGCAGATAGCGCCCGCTCGTCCAGATCGGGTGGGCGATACCGTGACCGAAGCAAGTCGCCAGAGAGGAGGAGAACCAATCAATCCAACACTCGGTCCCGCCAAGGACGAGACAACAGAGAAGACTCACCTCAAAGAACCAGAACACAGGCGAGCCCGAGCCGCGGAGGAAGGCGCGTGGAAGAGGAGGACTCTGCTGCCATCAAACATGGAGTGATTAACATGATCTCTGGTGGTCTGAGCGATGGGGGCGAAACACCCAACGCCAGAAAGAAGCATTTAAAACAATGTCTGACGGTTGCAGGAAAGGTGATCAGCAAAGGAAAAGGCGACTCCGGTCCAGCCAGGCCCAACATAGTTTGGGATAGCAGCAAGTTGGGCGACGTCCTCCCAGGACATGATGACCCGCTTGTCATCCAAGCAATAATCGCCAATTATGGCATCAACCGTGTATTTGTTGATCACGGCAGCTCTGCCAATATTTTATTCTTACCCTGTTTCAAAGCGCTGGGGTTCACGATTAATGATTTAACTCCTGTCGCAGATGAACTTTCAGGTTTTAATGCCACCACCACCAAGCCTTTGGGAGTAATAAACTTGCGCCTCTCCCTTGGAACACCGCCAACATCACGGTCTGCAGACATTCAATTCCTAGTACTGGACACACCATCCTGGGCAGAAGAATGTTCGCCGCCTTTGAGGCGAGCGTCTCTCATCCCCACCTGGCAATGAAGTTCATAGCCAGAGACAATAACATCGCCACTGTGCGAGGAAATCAAATTGTCGCCCGAAGTTGTTACAACATTTCTTTAAAGCCAACGACAAAGGTTACCTTCAAGGGAGAAGTGACACCCCAGCAGAAGGGGCCCTCTCCAGGTGGAGGAAGTCCTAGCACGAGGGGGAAAGAACACAACCAATGCTTCCTAATAGATTTTGACGCTAGGGACTATGCTTCCTAGTAGATTTTGACGCTAGGGACGACCCTAGAGTGGAGCACGCCAGGCCAACGCCAGATGGAGCATTGGAACATGTAGTGCTAGGCGAGACAAATCATCAGACGACAACAATCGGGGCGACCATCGACCCAGGGGTCAAAGTCAAGCTGATCCAGCTGTTAAAAGAAAATAAAGATTTGTTCGCCTGGAAACCATCTGATATGCCAGGTATTGACCCGAACGTATGCTGCCACCGTTTGTCGGTGGATCCTAAAGAAAAACCAGTTTCACAAAAAAAGAGAAAGTTTGGTCTCGATCGCCAGAAGGTCATCGATGAAGAGATCAAGAGACTCCGTGACGCCGGATTCATCAGGAAAATCAAGTACACAACTTGGTTATCCAATCCGGTGTTAGTAAAGAAACCCAATGGTGCATGGAGAATGTGCGTTGACTACACTGATCTCAACAAGGTCTGTCCAAAGGACGCCTATCCCTTCCCGAGCATTGACCAGCTGGTCGACAACGCCTCTGGTTTCCAAATGTTGTCTTTCATGGACGCATATTCGGGATATAACCAAATCCCGTTACTAGAGGAAGATCAGGACAAAACGACGTTCATCACCCAGAACGCCAACTATTGTTATACGATGATGCCTTTTGGATTAAAAAATGCGGGCGCCACGTATCAAAGGATGATGAATGAAGTGTTCAAAGATCTGATCGGCAACTGCATAGAAGTTTACATTGATGACATGATCGCCAAATCCAAAACGCCAGACCAGCACTTAGCAGATCTCCAAGGCGTCTTCGAGAGACTGAGAAAGTTTAACATGCGCCTCAACCCCAGCAAGTGCGCTTTTGGGGTTCCCGAGGGAAAGTTCCTAGGCTTCATGCTTACGGAGCGAGGCATAGAAGTGAACCCAGACAAGTGCAAGGCAGTCATCGAAATGCGAAGCCCGCAAACAATCAAGGAAGTCCAACAACTGATCGGAAGGTTAGTAGCTCTCACCCATATTTTGGCAAACTCAGCACACAAATCCCTCCCCCTTTTTAGTTTGTTCAAAAAGGGGACCACCTTCCGATGGTCAGAAGAATGTGAGAACGCCTTTCAGGAATTCAAAAGGGCTCTTTCATGCTCGCCAGTACTTGCCAAACCAGACCACAAAGAGATGTTGTATTTGTACCTCGCCGTAGGAACAGAGGCAGTCAGCGCAGCTCTCGTCAAAGAATCACAAGAAGGACAAAAGTCTGTCTATTTTATTAGCAAAGTTTTACAAGGCGCTGAGCTTCGGTACCAACAGGTTGAAAAGGTGGCGTTAACACTCATCTTTGCTGCAAGGCAGTTAAAGCCATATTTCCAGTGTCATCCAATCACTGTCAGAACAAATTAGCCAATCCGCCAAATTTTGCATAAGCCAGATCTAGCTGGAAGAATGATGTCCTGGGCGATAGAACTATCGGAGTACCAGATCGCCTACAAACCAAGAACTGCCATTAAGGCTCAAGCTTTGACAGACTTCATCGCTGAAATAACGCAAAGCCCTCCCCTTGAGAATCAGGCAACAGAAACACCTTCATCTGGAATCTGTAAGTTATATGTTGACGGCTCTTCAAACGCCAAAGGATCGAGCGCTGGGATGATAGTTGAAAACACAGACGGCGTAGCGCTCGAACACTCTCTGTCTTTTGACTTCAACGCCACAAATAACCAAGTAGAATATGAAGCCATGATAGCCGGTCTGCTCCAAGCAAAAGAAATGGACGCCAGACATCTCAAAGTCTTCACAGACGCCCAGCTGGTAACCATTCAAATCTCAGGCGAATACCAAACCAAAGGACCGCTAATATGCAGGTACCTAGAAAAGGTCAAAGAATTAATTGGAAGTTTCGAAGTCGTTGAAGTGGAGCATATAAGACGAGCTGAAAATACCCGAGCAGATATCCTCGCCAAATTGGCGAGCACCAAAAGCCCAGGAAACAACCGATCAGTAATCCAGCATAACATGTCAAGCCCATGCATTGTGATGAGTATTTCAAACCCGCCAGAGGAGGTAGCTGAAGAAACCTGGACAATGCCAATCATCAACTACTTGGCAGAGGGAGTTTTGCCCCAGGATAAAAAAGAAGGCCAAAAGATAATACGGCAATGCACGCATTTCTGCCTAGTGAAAGAGCGGTTGTATAAACGGGGATTCTCAACCCCACTCTTGAAATGTTTGGTCCCTGATGACATTCAATACGTGATTGAAGAAATTCATGAAGGTATTAACGACCACCACTTAGGCGGCCACTCACTGGTAAAGAAAGCATTAAGAGCAGGGTTTTACTGGCCAACCATGGAGCATGATGCCCACGAACATGTCAAGAAATGCGAAAAATGCCAAAGATTTGCTGATATACACAGAGCGCCACTAGAAGAGTTGACGTCAATCACATCACTATGGCCTTTCTACAAAGGGAGAATTGACATCATAGGCCCTTTCCCATGGCGACTGGCCGAGTCCAATGGCTGATTGTCGCCATTGACTACTTTACCAAATGGGTAGAGGCAGAACCCTTGGCCACCATCACGTCCCAAAAAGCAAGAAGGTTCTTTTGGAGAAGCATCGTCTACCGATTCGGTATTCCGGGAAAGGTTATTACCGATAACGGCACTCAATTTACTGATACAAAGTTCCGTGAACTAATGAGCAGTCTGCAAATTTGACACCATTTTTTCGCCGTAGAACACCCTCAATCCAACGGATTAGTAGAGTCAGCCAACAAAATGCTGGGGAAAGGAATCAAGAAGAAGTTGGAAGCAGACAAAGGAGCATGGTTAGAAAACCTTGACAACGTCCTGTGGGGATACAGGACTACCACCCAGTCTTCCACTAGAGAAACGCCCTTCAGGTTGACCTATGGTTCCGAAGCCATGATCCCTGTGGAAGTAGGTGAACCCTCCTGGCGACGAGAACACGTGACCGAGGTCACCAACAACCAACATTTGTAGGAAGCACTGGACTTGCTGGACGAAATCAGAGGATATGCCGCCCACAACGATCGCCAGTCCAAAGAAAAATCAGCAACTTATTATAACAAGAAAGTCATTCCACGAGGTTTTGAGGAAAAAGATCTGGTTCTCAGAAGAGCGGACGTTGGAAACAAGAACGCCCTAGAAGGAAAGCTCGCCCTAAACTAGGAAGGTCCCTACCGAATAGCAAACAAATTGGGAAAATGAGCTTACTCGCTCGAAACACTAGATGGGAAGGCGATCCCGAAGGCGTGGAATGCAGACAAGCTCAAGAAGTACTATAGTTAATTTTCCATGTAACATCGCCTGCACTCTTTTCCTTCCCTACGTTTTTGTCCCAATGGGTTTTACTAGGGAAGGTTTTTAATGAGGCAGGGTCCCACATTCTCAATAAAATAGAAGCCAACATTAGCCTTCTATATTCTGTGTCAAAAGCAAACTAACGGGATGGTTCTCACCCCCGCCGCAGTTGGACTGAGATGGTTCTCACCCCCAGCCAATGCCCAACTAACGGGATGGTTCTCACCCCTGCCGCAGTTGGACTGGGATGGTTCTCACCCCCAGCCAACGCCCAACTAACGGGATGGTTCTGACCCCCGCCGCAGTTGGACTGGGACGGTTCTCACCCCCAGCCAACGCCCAACGAACGGCCGCAGTTGGACTGGGATGGTCCTCACCCCCAGCCAACGCCCATTTAATTCACAAATGGGATGGTTCTCACCCCCGCCGCAGTTGGACTGGGATGGTTCTCACCCCCAGCCAACGCCCATTTAATTCACAAATGGCAATATTAAAGAAAAAAGCCTAAAAGCAAGAAAGGAAAGGAAGTTCGTCAGCAAATACAAATTACTTGTGATTCATTAGGAGATCAAATTACAAGACTTTGGTTGACATGCCAACAATTTCAAATTACATCAGGCCTGTAAAGGGGGGGGCTAAGTCTATGTCTACAAATCTGCCTTGACCGCCTCAACGCGTGGCGCATGATCAGTTACACCCTCCTCCAAAGCTTGCGCACTCACCGCCTGCTCCACCGCGACCGATCGAGCAACATCATCACCACGCTAGGATCAATCACATTCTCAATGAAAGTCCCGGAGGGCACGCCGAGCTCAGTATCGCCCTCCTGGGGTCCATCCTCACAATCCGCATCAGAGGCTGGAAGCATCCCCCATGCACCTTCATCATTGTCAGTCTCTGGCGCCTCCTCAATCACCCTGATGGCGTAACGATCAAGACGTTGAATAATCTTGCCATCCTCGACCTCATAATCGAGAGAAAATCCAGTCAGATCGGCGTCAGGATACCTAACAGAAACCTGCTTCAGGGCGTTGTCAAAAGAAAGGTACATCAGGTTCGCAAGAGCCTCCTCCAGTTTCTCTACCTGTCAAGAGGCCTTCTTAAAGTCCTCATCTTTGGCGTGAAGATACCCTTGAACGACAAACAAGTCGGCGGCCAGCTTATCCTTCTCAACCTGGAGAACCTCCTTCTCCTTTTTGGCATCTCCCAACAACTTATTGAGGCCATTTTTCTCATTAGACAGCTGCTTGACATCGTCCTCTGACTTTTTCAGCCGCTCGGACAATGAGTTAATGGAGCCTTTCTTGTCAGCAATCTCCTTGCCAAGACGCCCAACATCAGCAGTTAGACTTTCCACCTGTCGCCCAAACCCATCAAGGCGATTCTCCTGCAAAGAGCACTGCTCGCCGATAGCAAGTGCGATCTCCTGCATCCCCAGGATACAGCCAATAACCACTTGGGTACAGTCCATAATTTGCTTCCGATCCAGACGCGGAAGGGCCACCATCTTTGGACGACTAACGTTAGGAAATTCCCTAACAAGGTCCCTTTATGACAAGGTTAAGGCCTTGCTAAAAAAATCCTACCTGAGAGTGATAAACACACAGTCAATCCTCAATACTTCACCAAAGCCAAGAAGACCATTGCGAAGAGAAAAGAGATGCCACCTGGCCCTACCCCCCACCTCTGTAATCACCAACGCCCTCCTTACTGATCACTACAAGAAAAAAATAACTTGGGCACAAACTACTTACCATCAGAGTCAGAAGCTTCTGAAGAGCTCGAAGAATAGAAATCTGAGTAGCTTAAAGAAGGAGGCCACCAAGCAGGCGGTATCTTATAAAGCCCTAGGTCTTCGTATATGGCGTCCCACACACCATACTTCACAAGGCGTCCATCTTCAGGATGAAATCTACCTAACCGGTTCTCCATGGACTCGTCATATTTACGGCGATGAAAGGATGAAGAAAGACTGGGTATATGGCCCCGAGTGGTGCTCAAAGCAACACGAGAGTCAACAGTCGGACGGGAAGGCTTATAATAATACTCTATGAGACGATTTTGTGGAAGACGGTTAACAGAAGACAAAGGCTGAACAAGTCGCCCTACCCCCAGGGCAGAGCGCCGTGAAACATGGCGGTAAGAACCCTCCTTTTGTCCAGCCGCACGAGCTGAAGACCCTGAACCACGACGACGGGAAGGGCGAGCCCTAAATCCCTCACTGGGACCCCTAGACCGTCGCCCTCGAGTACTGGCTGGCTGAATCCCTCCAGACACAGAAGCGCTCTCACCCCCTAGATCCAGGCGCTTACCACGCGGTCGAGAACCAGATGCTTCACCCAAGTAAGGAAGCACAGGCCCTAAAGCCCGTTCAGGCAAGAGACTCTGAATCTCATCTTCAGAGAAACCCAGAAGTTTTGGAACCTTACCATGGGGCAATGACTCCACCCCGGGGACCAAAGAACGGTAGGAGGGAAAGCTGCTACTCCCTCCACGCTTAGCAAGATATTCCTGCATAGCTGGCCCCACTAAACAGCCTTCGAAAGAGTCGAAAGCTTCATCAAACTCCTCCTCCTTAACCTCTACCCCCAACCCAGGAAGATCCATTGCTTTTACCGTGCACAGGAAAAGAAGAAAAAATAGTGTACCAAGAAGCACAAGAATATCAAAGGAGAAAGAGTGAGACACTATACCTGAGAAGTTGTGCGAATAGTGAAGAAGCTTTAAGGTAAGGAAGAAGAAGCACAGCGTAATAGAAGCAACAGTAGATCAATAACCAGCATAGAGAAGACCTTCAAGCAAGAGCATGCCCCCCTTTTAAAGAAGAAAGGAGCGCAAGGTGGCACTCGCACGAATTACCCCTTGATTTTCCGACCGTCAGATGTCGTAACCGTCATTTAGCTGGCGGTTGAGATGAGGGGCATGATGGTAATGTCAAGGTGATATGACACCTTGCACGTCGCGTTATTGCGCCGTGTCTCGAAATAATACAACTGCTTGTAATAATGGAGTCCATCATTACAACGTGCACGAAAACCGAAGAGACACCCTCCGCGTCAGCAGGACGAAAGACCTGAAGCACCCCTGGAAGCGTGAAGGGAAAAACCGTTGGTCTTCTAATACCAATCAGAGACGCCCAAAATCCCTGAGTAGGCGACATTAGCCCAAGAACGCCCAGTAATTACGACCAGGCATCAACGCGGGTCAGCTACGATATTAGAGCGGCGACACCGCTCATGAATCTCCCAAAAGGTAAACGCCCAAAGACAATAACTTGGCACCATCCAACGCATGCTACCAAGTTGGGGGGCTCCTGTTTCGGATGGCCCAAACACTGGTGCAGCCCAGCTGGCCAGGCCCAATCCTCCGCCCCAAAGGGCTGACGTGGAGACGCACGCCCTCCAACCTTGCAGCATGTCCAAGGGATACACCAAAATGCCCTATCTCGGGACGCTAACCACCAAAGGCGCCAGCCACAGGCACCCTAAGGGAAAACTACCCTCTGCCCAGTGCTGACATCGCCAGACGCAGAAGGCGCAGCGCTGCCCAAAAGGCAGCGCCAAACACGCCCAACACTGCTATCATGGCAGTACATCCCAAGGACGGTTGACCTCTCCTTACCAACCCGCACCATATCCTCTATAAATAGCCCCTATGGGCACAACTTTAAAGCATCTTATGTATCGTAATATTGCCCATTTACTTTGAGTCTTATTGCTTACTGCACATATCTATTATCTTGCTATTGCTTGACATAATACCTCTTAGCCTGGTCAGTACCTAAGCTAAGGGTATATCTCATACAGTGACTCATCCTTAAAGGGAACATAGTGGACTTGTAGATCCCTACAGTACAAAAAAGTTTTTTAAATTTCATCTTCGCTAAACTAATCATACAACGCCACAAATAAACTGCTCTCTAAATTGTATTGTACATACCTTTTTTAGTAATTATCTCTCCCACAAGTTTTATTGGAAATAATGTACGATAATAAAAATATGTATATTGAACAACTCTTAAACTTGCTCTTCAAATTTCAAAAGCAGACGCAACTTACACAATTGCATTTAATAGCTTGGATTTCCCAATTGATATTAATTATTAATTATTCGCACTAGAATCGTGTCGGATGCTTTCTCTAGATCTTTAAGAGAAAAAGCATCTGGTATTTAGCTAGGTAAATTATGAATTAAAGATTGATTCAAGACAGAAACACCGTAATTTTCACTGAGTTCAAACCCCATTTCAATAGATAATTAGTCATGAAGCTTTAATCACCTATTATTGACAGCAACGGTTGAAAATCCGAGCTCTCCTTTCATAATCCTTGACACGGGCAGACAAAAGTGCATCTCCTTCCATGGTCCATGCCACGTTTTCATATTTTGATTTAACTACTCCTGCGCTTAAATGTTTTTTTTTTTTTTTTTTTTTAAATATGCTTAAATATATTTGATACGAAAGAACCTTAGACATACATAATCTTTTATTAGGGTTTAACATTTCTGGAGAAAGTAAATTTATTTTCTATACCCATATATTTTCTTTTTCTATCTAATCCTCATATAAGTTTCAAACATTTTTATATGTATATAAGAGATAAATTATTTTCTACAACATGACAAAATACTAAACTCAACCTTTTATAATACAATTTAATATAAAATGGTATTATATATGACGGACGTCACATTGGTATTATATATGACGGACGTCACATTAGGCTATTTGACCATTTTATTCCTCATTAATTAATTAATAATCATTTTGCTCCTAACTCGAAACTATCTACCAATCTGTCCATCTTTAATCGACTACCTTGCTTTTTTAATCGATTAAATGGTTGTTGGGAGATTTAATCGACTAAATCTCCCTACTTAATCGATTAAAAAATCATACCGACTTGTTTTCCTTTGTTGCCTGTTGGGAGATTTAGTCAATTAAATCTCCCAACAGCCATTTTTGCCTGTTTTGGCCATTTAGTCGATTAAGAATACAAGGTAGTCGATTAAAGAGGGATATATTGGTAGATAGTTTCGAATCAGGGACAAAATAGTTATTAATTAATTAATAAGGGACAAAAGGGTAAAAAAGCCTGTCACATTAACCCATCATTCATTATTTTCTCATTTAAAAATAATATTTTAAGACTTCTAAAATCTAAATATTACATTTAATTTTAGGGTTTTATGATTGCTATGTTATATGATGTAACCTAATTTCCCTACATACACAATTGAGAAGAGAGAGAAGAAAGGAGAGAGAAAAATCAAGAGATGAGACCCACACAAAATTGTGTGTATAAAAAAATTATGTTACATGATGTAACATAACAAACATAAAACCCTTAATTTTATCTTAACAATTCAGCATAAAAGACTATATTTGAAAAGTATAACTCTTTAGAAATACTTTATAGTTTCATTAAGCCTGATTTATAATGATAAAACAGTTTACGGCATGGATTTTACATTTAAGCAGTTCGAATAAAATGAAGCAACCGGATGCTAATAGAAGATCTTGCCTCGACAAATTGCTTCAATACTGCCACGTTAGATTTTGGAACCCAAATTGAGTTATTGTTTTTCAGTTCCTGCAATGGAATGGTTTTTATGTTATTTCTGTTTTTCCATTCGATATGTACGTTCAAGAAGTTAAGAGACAAGTGTGCGTTGGGCTGTTGCTAAAGTTTCTGGACCAAGATTGAACACTATATGCATAAAACTAGGGTAATAGGTGGGTCCTACATGTTTGTGGTGAGCCCCACATATTTTCAGTGGACCCTACCCCTTTCATGTGTTAGTAGGAGAATCATTTCTTCTTTCTAATATAAGAAAAATATTACCCTAACACTAAATGTAGAAAGTGTTCAATCCAAGAGAATCGGGGGTGTCCAATAAAAGATTGATGAATCTTATATAAAATCAGTATGCTCTCAATATCTATGAGAGAGATATCATAGAGGATTGCAGATAATTGTGCACTATAATTAACAAGCCAGAGAGTAAAAGGTGTGCATAACAACAATTAAGAAAGAGCATAAAAAAGTGTATATTTGATTTATAGTAGTTACCTAATAGTAGTAGAATTTTAGGCCATTTGGAAATATTGAGGGCCCAATATTTGATCTACTTAGTGATATGACAAGATTAATATTTTATCAGGCAAAATTATTTTCTTATCTCTCTTAGTTGATTACCCTTTATGGGCTATTAGAATATGGGCCAATAAGTTGGTTCATAACAGAAAGGGTACTTCATCAGAAAAGGAAAAAAAAAGATTATATACCTTTGTTCGGTCCAAATTTATACTGTCTTCTTTCCCTCTATAATTAAGCGTTTATTTCATTGAGAGCATTATTTACATTTTTGCAAGGATCAGATCCGGAAAATACTTGAGACAAAAAGAAAGAAAAAAAGAGACTTACGGGAAGGAAATATGCAGATTATTCCGCTTAACAGCCAAAAATACAGTTTACTCAAAGCCGCCCTCTCTGCCCTTCGTTCTACAGACTTATAAATAATGAAAGCTGAAATAACACTACCACTAATATCATACTTGTACATCAGTTATATATCTTGCTTGGTTATGCCACATACTTACACAATTTGCTGTTAGGACATCTCATATTTCCAATCTGTTGATGAGGAGTGTTTGGCCATACACTGTATAGTTGTTGCTGTTTCCACTGTTGTCCTTATTCTAAGCTACTCCAGGTTTCCTTAGTCCGAAAGATTTATTGACTTGCTAGCATAATTTTTTGATTACAATGTAGCCATGCTGACAGTTTGAACAGAGCTATAACCAGCTTTATTCAAAACGCTCTTAGCTTTCATCTTTTTCCTTACAGTTTCAACATCATTCCACCTTTCCGCTGAAGCATAAACATTTGACAGAGCTACATAGTCCTCGCTCTTAAGAGCCAACTCGGCACAACTCTGCTCTTCTAACTGGAGAAGAAACTTCCCCACCTTCTCTCCCATCACAACATTCCCATGAATCTTGCATGCACCAAGCAAACTCCTCCATATTACGGCATCAGGACTAATTGGCATCCTCATGATAAAATCATAAGCTTCTTTTAACTTTCCAGATCGGCCAAGGAGGTCAACAATGCAACCATAATGTTGTATCTGAGGCATCACACCAAACTTTCTCTTTATATCATGAAACAGTTGAAGGCCTTCTTCAACAAGCCCAGCATGACAGCAAGCCGACAACAAGCTTGTAAAAGTTACTTCATTTGGCTTCACTCCATAAGCTCCCATTTTATATAAAACCTCCAAGGCTTGTTTTCCTTTCCCATGGACGGCTAGACCGGTAGTCATTGCTGTCCATGTCAAGATGTCCTTCTGATTCATTCGCCAGAAGATAGATAAGGCACTGTCAAGACATCCACATTTTGAGTACATATCCACAAGCCCAGTGCCTATAAACACATCATCTTCAGGAGAACACACTGTTTTTTCTGCAAACCCATGTATACAAGCACCGGTTTCTATCATACCTATTTGAGAAGCTGCTGAAAGCACAGAAACTATGGTAGTATCTGTTGGTTTAACTCCACTCGGATCAGCCAACATGTCATTGAACAAAGACAATGCATTGACAGCATATTTCTTGTTTCCTTCTTTTAGGGAACAAAAACCTGTTATCATAGCATTCCATGTAACACTGCTTCTTTCCGCCATTTCATCAAACACTCTTCGGGCTGATATGATATCTTTGTTGCTAGCATAAAAATGTATGTTGGTAGTCAGAACCAATATATTTGACTCAACCCCATGTTTTACTATCTGGGCATGTAGTTGTCTACCTACCCATAATGTTGAAGAAGAAGGGGAGCGAGCACAGGCTCCGAGAACAAAATTGTAAGTGCAATCATCAAAAACTATGACTCCCCTTGAAAATTCATTTTGGAAAATACGAAGAGAACCCTTGGGTTGAACACATCTTATCAAAGTATTGAAGAGAAACAAGTTCGGCGCGTCAAAGTACTGGAACACCAAATGTGCATTATTGGCAATGTGTTGGTATGGTGAACCACAATAATGCTCAATTAACTTGGCCAAGAAGGTAGGAGATTTCAGGCCATTAGTGACTAATTGGGCATGAATTTGCTTTACATTGTTGGACAATTTGGGTAAAGAATACAAGAAAGAAACACAGCTAAGTCTTGGAAGGCAGGTCAGCATTAGGGAAATTGTAACCCATAAAATATGATTAAAATCCTTGGTTCAAGAAATAGGTTTTGACGTTTGAAGGTTCGATGTCTTATCAAATTTCACCTTCAATTGACAACTCACACAGAACTCCTCCTGATGTTTTATCTGCAGATCATAAATGGCAGATGATGATGATCTAGGGCCACACAAATCTGTTAGGGTAGCACCAGCCCCATACCCATGCACTCTGCTGTGTCCATCCAATTGTGATTACAAGGATTTCATCCTCATTCATCTGAAAAGATCATTGATTTCAGTTGAGAGGCATTTGAATCAATTCTTATTTGAAAATAACCAATCACAAGTAACAATGTACGCATTTTCCAAAATTATATCCAAGTACCATATACAGTTCACTAAAGCACAACAGTAATTCTTTTTTTTTTCATTGAAATAATAAATATGGAAGATCTCCAACTTCGCAAGTTACCTTCCAATCAAAAGAAAAAGTCAGAGTAGAAAACCCGATAAGCAACTCCCCTCATTCAGGCAATGCACATTTACTATGCTTTTTTTGGGCCATGCACATCTGTTTATATACTTTAAAATTGCGAATACTCTTTTTGGGTCATGCAATTAGTTGCTAGAAAATTAATACAAAAATAATTTTGATGCTACTTTTATTATGGTTTTCGTTGAATTCCTCAAGCATCACCATCAATAGCAAAAGCATAGAGTAAATCAAGAGAACTGTACCGTTTTGCTTCACAGTCTCTGTAATTTTTGAACTTTCTTATTTTATGAAGTTTCACCTTTAACTTTTAACATCTCAACAACCTCATATTCCTATTAGTTCTTCCATCCAAGAATCACATGCAGGTAATAGATAATAATTCATTTCTCACATGACAGTGGCTGCTCTTAGATTTATATCTACCGTTTCACCCCAATCAAAATGTTCATTCTGATTTTGCTTAACTATCATCTATGGCACATTAATATCACAAAACTAATGAAAACCTAAAAGCAAACGATGCTTTCAAACCCTGACCATGATACATCCAATTAAGCATGTTAGGGGAAAAAAAAAAAAAGGAAACGATATACAAAACTATGAAACGCACTTGAATCAAATCAACAGCACAATACATATCGATAAAAGACTAATGTAGATAGTGACAGCTTGCAGAGAAGCATCAGAAAAAGAGAATGGGGGGGGGGGGGGGGGATCGCTGTCAAGTACAAAATATGGAGTAGAAGCGCACCATACCGGCGATATCTTCCGATTTCACCGAGTTGCTGAAACGAAACTATGGAGTAATTGCGACAGAAGAAGAAGACGATAGCGGAAGCAACGTGCTCGCACAGGCACTACAGTGAATACTAAGATTGAAGAATGAACCCTTCTCTATGGTTTTGCCCCCAATTTTTTAATTATTTTTGGAATGGATTTAGCTTATAGAAAATAAATTTATTTCTTACCATTTACTATATGGGCCATGGGGTTTATACGCAGACGAGAGATATTTTTACTATTAAAATTTTTTATTATCAATTCATTACTTATCTAATCATTATTGGATCAATATTTTCTCTTTTTTTAAAAACTTATTAGCATTCTCCCTCTTTGATTCAATGGTGATTAGATAGGTAGTAAGTTAGTAGTAGAAAATTTTAGTATTAAGAATATCCTTCCTCTTATATGAATTCCAAAAGAGAGAAATTAAGAAAATATAAATTTCACATAATTTTATATATTATAGAAGATAAATTTATCTTTTAAAATATAAAAATATTAAATCCATAGATTTATGATGCAAATTCTATCCTGATATAGAAAATTTTATTTTAACCCAATGGGTAGCTCATAACTTGGAGTTAGTGGGGTTGGATATGTGTTCGATTCCCGCTGAATGCATTCTTGGGGAGGGGGCTGAACCTTTGGCCATCACTGCTCCCCCGCACTCCGGATTAGTTCCATAGCCGGCTCAAAGAGTCGAAGCTCGTGGGGATACCGGAGGGAGCCAACTCGTCTCAAAGAGATAATTAGGGTTGGGTAACTCCAAAAAGAAAATTTTATTTTATTACATAATTAATATGCATACTTAATTTTAAAAAAAAATTAACTTAAGTAGAATGATTTTTATATTTAAAATAACTAGAATCGGATTATTATTATTTTAAGTCAAATGGTTTTCACTTGCATGTTAGTATTTAATTATTATTATGAAAAAATAATATATAAAATTTGTTACTCTCACTTTCTAGTTTAATGTTTTAATTTAGATTACCAACATATCGTTAATAATTAAGAATAGTATTTTATTTTCATTAAACAATTGTAAAAAATATTATTTACTTATTTTTAGTATGCCATTTTATCGTTTAAAAACATTTATTTAATTCGATTGTGAGTCAAATCAAACAGAGAAATATTTTTTTGGTCGATTTTTGATGTAGATTGTACCAATAAATCATACCCCAAAGCAATATTGGGCCTGAATTTTGTCAGAGTAGGTATTAAGCTGAGTAATTAGTTTGTGTTGGCTTGAGGCCCACTAAAGTTTTCATTTGGAGGACAAAAATTGGAATCCACATCCATGACAATATGACATATGCTAAAAACCTAAGCCATGATTGGAGCCACCCAAAATGGATCGATGTCAAGTTGAGTCCTAGTTGAAGAAGAATTATAAGTAGAAGAATGTCATCTCTTTGCAATCTAAGTGGATTTAGGTTAGCTTTAACAAATTTCTCGAAACAATCTCATCATGTCTTGGGCTAATAAGCAAGTAAACGATCCCCTCAAGGGAGCATCCAGCATGCAATAGGCATACTTGTCGGGAAAGTCATAAACTGCACAAAACCAAGTAAATTGATGTTCAATTTTAGCTAATCAATAAGGGACTAGAGATTCATTACCAATACTTCTAGAATCTGAGTTTAATTTAGCCAATATGAATTGAAAAGTTGTTTTTGCTATCATCAACTTACATGTTTTCAAATTTGATCTTTCAAATAAACTTTTTTAAGTCTCATATAATTTTTAATATATAATTGAATTGTTTAATAATGAGTTAATATAAATAATTTACTCTAGTAGTATGTAGAAATTAAATCTATATATATTACATTATATATCATTATTGTTTTACTTCAAAATTAACATGACATAGGTGTTGTTCAGTTGGCTACTAGCTAGAACTCTATTATGTAGGTTAATTTTATTTTTTAAAATTATTTATCATTTTATCGATTAAATAACTAATTCAATTTGATAGGATCACATGAGCGACAAAGTTCTCCTTATCAAGTTTTAATATAACTGCTTCCCATAGACTCGAACTCAAAACCATCGATTAAGCTGGAACAACCATTTATCAGTTGGTTCACGTGCTTGATACTTAGGTTAATTTTAGGTTTATAAGTTTTGAGTGGTTGTCCATGGCCTGTTGTTTATCAAAGGAAAAAAAAAAACACTGTGATGCAAAGTTTCTAATAAGAATCTTACATTGTAACAACTATTGAGTAATCCTAACTATAAGAAGACAGGTATCCCGACCATAAATTTACTTGCTTGCTCATTTTACTCCCACCGTTCCCACCCATGACCTCCTCCATAATTCCCTTGCTCTCTTGTCCAATTCATAGTGGGCTTCCAACATCCTTGTCTATTGCTCATTTCATGTTACCGTCGTTTCTTCCAATCAATGTTTTCGCGGAGACATATATAATTGATTCAAGATTTTGTTAGATTTTGCCTTGGACAACTAGTCATATCCACCATCAATTTAACTAGTAAGATAGCACAACATAATAATTTACTGGAATCTAGTACGTCCTAATTGTTGTTCCTCGGTGGAAAATCCACGATGCATTTATGGATGATATTTTGTTTGAGGGGTTTCAATTTGTCAGGAAAGAAATTTGATCATGCAAAAAAAAATAACAATATACTACAGGTAATATATAGTTATAATATTAAAAATTATTTTTTTTCTCCTCAGAAGACTGTCGGGTGACGTGGCGAAGAGAAAAAAATAACTTTAATATTATAACTATGTACTACCCGTAATACATAATTATAATCTGTAATATGACCAAATTTTCCTTCCTATAACATGATTCTTATATTTCTTTTTGTTTGAGCCACAAATTTTTTATTTCATTTTTTCATTTTTTTTCCTCTTTAGTATGATAGCTAACTGAAGCATATGTTTTTATTTACCCCAAAAAGTAAAAACGAATAGAAAGTTTTGGCAAGAGCATTCATTCTTAATGTCGGCCACCTTTTCTGAATAAAGTTGTTGAAATGTAACAAAATTACCTAAGTGAAATTAGTCATTCTCTATATCCAGGAGACCAGGACAATCGCACTATTTGTTTTTCAAATCGTCACTTCTTAACAAAAGTGGATGCAGTCTCACGTAAAAAGGTGGACATACGTATAGATATCCTTGCATGTTAAACTTTTGAATTAATAACATCTATATATTATCTAAACTTACAACTATATATATACGTTTATGAAAATGTACTCATAAAAGAGTTCCACATATATACTGCATGCAGTTCCAAAGACTAATTAAGATAGAAAAACTAACAGAGTGTTATATATAAATCTGATTAATTCAACGGAGAGAGACAATTATACTATCTGACTCCCTTCTTCTTTATTTGAAATTTTCAATAACTACCAAAAAGAAAAATAAATCTTCAATAATATTTCAGAAACATATATTTCTCTTCATATATGTCCTCACTCTAACTCTCCACTCTGTTTTAAATTTATTCACCTTTCTTTTCATGTGCCTTCCCTCTATTTGTGTGTGACTAGTGACTCCTGACTACACCTCTATGGCTCACCTAGTCTTCTATTGCATTAAATTTAAGTGGAAGATACGTGTGCATGTAATTTAGTGGTTTACGTCTTGGATAATTTTTAAAAGGGATTTAATATATATATAGCATCAAGTAACAGGAAAACAATTTTTTTCCTGTACACTCAGTCAAAAGCGAGACCCACGGGGTGAGAGAAAAAAGAAGAAGAAAGGAAGCAGCTCACTTATTGATGTGAGGGCAAGAGAGAGTTTTGCTTTCCTCCTACTTGAAATAAATATAAAACCCTTTTTAAAATATTTTCTATTGATTTTTACAAGTTTTTCACATGCGTAATTCATAGTAAGGGGCAATTTTAGGTCATGTATAAATTATAGTGACAAGTAAAATAAATTAACAAACGAGTTAATGTTAAAGAAATATGTTGGAAAATTGTATTTATGTGGGCAGTATTAATTAATTAATTAATTGATTTTGTGTTTTAAAATTAACCGAGTTAATGGATATTTCAATTGTATTATTTTGATTAACCCATTGTGTTTATATTGAGTTAGGCTTATGACATCTGTTGGTATTGAGGCTAGTTAGACAGCAGTGTAGGCTTTTAATGTGACCCTGATTTTATGTAATGGGTGGATCCAATAGACACAAACTCTTTTCAGGGTATTTGACTATGTCCGCTCTTTAGCTTATTTATATTGGACTTAAGTTCTATGAGCAGTCATGCTCTCATCGTATTGAGACTGCCACTTTCGGAATAAGCATAGATAATAGATCCTAACATGTAGTCTTTTCTTTCCTCTTGTTTTGTGATGGTCCAACAAAGTACACACACTCCCAACTTTGATTTCATAATGTTTGGTATTTTATAATCATATATATGATCCAGGAATAATAAATCTTTCATTTGATATCAGAGCCTTGTGTATATGATTATAAAATCCATATTGTTGATTGGAATCAAGAAATTGGGATTCCTTTTTAAAAAGGTCAAAACTTTATGTATTAATTCATTATTTTTTATTTTTTTGTTCGATTGAATTGAGAACCTTAGGAATTTTGTCTTATATGTCAACATCTTTCCATTGATATATATTATGTGCGTTTTCGTGAAGTAAGGAGAATTTGTGTTTTTAAATCTTAGGGTTCATCTCTTAAAAATTGAGATTCAGAATTGAAAAAGTTACTTTATGTTTTATATAAAAAAGAAAAAGAAAAAAGACTTGATTAAATTGTCATTTTTGGGTTTTCGATTTTCATTATGTCTCATATGTCATAGTTTCATGAACATATAAATTTCGGTTTTCCCTTTTGGCTTGTTCTATATCCCTTCATGATCAACCATTTGAAAACCTACATATTTGAACATCGAAAACCTGCACTTTGTGGTGTATTTAGTACACGAAAATTGAGACAGTTTCTTTTATCTTCAATGCACATATAATATGCCAAGAATGAAGATTAAGCCAAGAGAGAGAAATGTACAAATCATCTACAATATGCATATAAACCTG